TTTCCTCTCTCACGCGGGTTATCTCCGCCTTGGCAGCAGCAGCTTTGGCTTTCATCCTCCTCAGAGTCCTCTTTTGAACAAAATTGATGAAAAAGATCAATATATAAGTAAATTAACGGAGACGTGTTTTACCAATTAGGATTGCATTAGGATTGCATTAGGATTGCATTAGGATTGCATTAACTGGTAAGCGGCTTGTTTTAGTTTAAGTAAGGTCTCGAGTTCGAGATCTTGTGAACGCAGCAGCCCCGCTGGGAGATTCACCCACCATTTCCAGGTACGCGACGCGGGTTAGGTACAAATTTGCGCGACGCAGGTTAGGTACAAATTAGTCAGGGCGAAGTCCCGGATACCGAACGAGAAACCGAAAAAAAAAATAGAGACGTGTTTTAAAGAATGAAATAGGTAGGATTTGTTGAGAAAACAGAGGCAGTTACCTTAAGCTTGCTGCTGCGCCTTAATCTTCCACTACGGATCTCCCTTGTTCCCTCCATTACAACTTCTCTTGTGTCTCTGTGATATCTCATTTAGGTGGTATATATAGAGACGAGGCGGTCCCCACATATTAATTATTCTTCTTCTTTGTTTTTGGTAGAAATTAATTATTCTTTCATTTGATATTCAGTAATTGGTTGTTTGGTGAGTTTTGCGTCACAAAACAACCAAACAACTAACTATTGAACATTAATTTTCTTTCGACGTTCAATAGTATAATTTGTCGTTTTGGGTATGTGACACAAAGTTTGGTGTTCTGCGATACAAACTATAGAAGTCTTGAAGCCGAAGCAAAAAAAATAGAAGTCTTGAGGCGAGGCGTTCCCCACGGCAGGCGTTCCCCACAAATGAATTGGTTGATTTGTGGTCTGTGACACAAAGTTCGGTGTCTGTGACAGAGAATATAGAAGTCTTTTTCAAAAAAAGAAAATATAGAAGTCTTGAGGTGAGGCGGTCCCCACAAATGAATTGGTTGCAAAGAAGTTAATACCGTTTCGTACCGGCCGGTATGGCCGGTATGTACCGGATTTTTCATTGCACCGAAACGGTATGAAGCTTAATTTCGTTTCGGTCAAATTTCGCTCATTTCGGTCAAATCTCGGTATTCCGCCCGGTATTCCGGCGTACCGGCAGTGTTGACAACCACTTCAAGTGACAACCACTTCAGATTTTTTTGAAGAAGAGAGATCTTCCCTTTCTGGTGGCTGCCGAACCCCTCTCCTTACCGGTGATGAAGGTGGAGGCAGTGATGATGATGAGACGCAAGAAGATGTCAAGGTCAGAGTCCCAAGGGGCTTCCGGCTAGATCTATAT